GTTTACTTTCTTGTAGAACTTATTTTGCTTTTTAATGTTTTCAACTATATAGTTTTTGTCAAAAATCATCATTCAGGGGAAATATTTTCTATAAGGCCCGTCGATTCACAATTTCGCCCATGATGAATGAGTTGTAAATCTTCTTAAGTTTAAGTTTGGTAACATTTGGCCCAGAATTCTCAGAAAAGATTTTCATAATGTTTACGATAATCACTCAAAAACACACTTTTACTATATCTTGAAAGAACTATAGAATGAAAATTTGTGCACTCTTTAGGTCGGTAAACAAAATGGCATGTACATCATGACAATAAAGGCAATGCCTTTAAAAACAAAAACATAAATAGTCCATGATAGGTGTATCATAGAGTTCAGTGCTTTTCGTCTATGAAACTGATTTAAGATTAAAAGAGGTAAGATTGTGTGCCATAAAGAATTTTTGCCTCATGTTCATTTGCTCATCCTTAGTCAGGAACCTTGTCAGTATTAGTCTTTAGTTCTTTTTGAATGTTTTTTCCTTCAGGGACTTCTGTGTTAAAGGCAGTTCTTTGGTGGTCTGTTATATTTACTCACAGCTTTTCTATCTATTGGCAATTGAGTGCTTGACATAATAAATGGAGAATGAGTCCATGGGACACAGATGATGCCCCTGCTTGCATATAACATTATAAAAGGACATAACTAGAGAACTGTAAAATTGACGCCACCCAAATTCGAACATGATCTGTGTTTTATGGTAATAAGCATTGTGTATAAGTTTCATACATTTGGTTGAGGCAAACTAAAGTTAGAGAACGGAAAACAATTTTAAGACGTATGTACAAGGGTCACACTTAATGCCCCCTTTGACTAGCAATGGGGGCATAAAATTCTGACAAGAAATGTAGGCTACTTCGTATTTAAGTTTCTAGCGATCCTTCATTTATTGAAGATTATTCGACAGGCATTGACTTTAAAATTTGATTTATAATTTACAAGGTAACCAGAAAAAAGAAACAAGATCAAAAATCAAAATAATATATGTACATTTGAAAAATAACATTCAGATAAAACTATATACTTTTGATAACAAAAAAAGTTAAGGGTAGAAAATAGGGATTAGAGCAGATTCTGGGATCATACTCTTGAAACCCTGTAGTGTACTGCATGAAACTATTTGTTGTGGCAATTGATCCCAATTTATAACTGTACGTGGATAAAATGAATATTTATAACTGTCTAGATGTTTGTATTTGCTTCAATGAGTGTGGATTGCTGTTTGGTTCTATTGTCTAGTGGGATCAAAAGGTTAAATGTAGGGACTGCAACAATTTCTTGTATAATTTTGTAGAAGAAAACAAGTCTGTATCTAACGCCTAGGCTAATTTTAAGTGGGTACCAATTTTAGTTTGTCGTCATATCAGTAACTGAGCTGTGTTGTGAAAGTGGTTGCATGTGAAGCAGGCTGTTCTTCTCTGTACTTTTTCAATTTGTGAAATTTGTAGTTTTTGATGTGGATCCCCAATGGTTGGTCGGACAAGAGCTTTGAATGCATGAGCTTTAACTTTAGGTGAGGCTATTTTAAGGTTTCTGTGAATAAATCCAAGAGACTGGTTTGCTTTTGATGTCATGTTATCGATATTTTTATCCCATTTTGATTTTGATTGAAGAGTTAGACCTAAATATTTTTAGAGTCAACTTTTTTGAGTGAGTGATTATGTAATTTGTAAGTGAAATCTAAAGGATTTAGTTTTTGTGTTACACTGAGAATGTTGCATTTATCAGGGTGAAAATGCATGAGCCAATCCCGCTCCCATCTGCCGACCGCTTCTAAATCAGGCTGTAATCTATTTGTGTCATCCGGTTTCTTAATTTCTCTACAAATAATACTGTCGTCTGCAAATAATCTTAATGTACTACTGGTATGTTTGATATATTCTGCCAAATCATTAATAAATGTTAAGAATAAAATTGGTCCAAGCACTGGGCCTTGTGGTACTCCAGTTGTTACAGGAATTTTATTTGATGTTTCACCTTCAAGGACTACTGTTTGTATTCTGTTTGTTAAAAAGTCTTGAATCCAATGTAATGCATTGCAATTTATACCATAGAAGCTGCCTGCAATATAATTTCTTATAGAGGTTACATTTCCAAGTGACATCAGCTTTGAAATTCAAAATTGTCACAGACATTGCTGATATAAACCGTTATAATAAATTTCATGATAATCCTACAAGTTATGTAGTCTTGAGAGCAAGTACAATGCAATTTTCCATACAACTTTTTTTCCACTGTCATCACTCCTTTAAAAAAAGTTGAACCTCACTGATATTAAAACTGGTCCAAGAAATAGCTGTTATAAACCTTTGAAATATATTATAAACAAATCTGGCAAGAATTGTTTCTGTAATAACCCTTCGAAGACCTGATGGACACCCAGTTTTCAATATCATAATATCCCCTGCACCATGTTGTGAGGGGGACAAAAATATTTTAATGTCAGTGGGTTGCTAAATACACATAAAAATCTCTATTCACAATTTTTATCAAATCATGTTCATTTCCAAGTTTGAATATAAAAATAAGAAGACTTAGTATAATTGCCAATCAGACAACTCTCCTCCAGAGACCAAATGATGTTAGAATAAAATGCTTTGCTGGGCGCAGCTTGATACGACCGCAGAGGTCGAACCCTGAACAGTTGGGGCAAGTATGGACACAACATTCAAGCTTGATACAGCTCTGAATTTGGATTGTGATTAAATATTTGACACAGCATAGGTTTCTGACACAGAAAGAATGTGGTCTAAGAACTTCAATTTTTTTAATTTACCTATTATGGTCCAATGTCCAAAATCAAAATACATGGTTAGATTCAGCATATCAAAGAACCCCATATATTCAATTTTTGTTGAAATCAAACAAAGTTTAATTTTGGACCCCAACTTGGACAAACTTGAAAACTGGTCCCATAATCAAAAATCTAAACAAATGTTTAGATTCAGCATATCAAAGTACCCCAAGAATTCAATTTTTGTTAAAATCAAACTAATTTTAATTTTGGACCCTTTGGACCTTAATGTAGACCAATTTAAAAAACGGGACCCAAAATTAAAAATCTAAAAACACGGTTAGATTTGGCATATCAAAGAACCCCAATAATTCAATTTTTGATGAAATTAAACAACGTTTAATTTTGGACCCTTTTATCCTCAATATGAACCAATTTGATAGCGGGCCCACAAATAAAAAATCTAAATACATGGTAAGATTCAGCATATCAAAGAACCCCATATATTCAATTTTTGTTGAAATCAAACAAAAAAAGTTTAATTTTGGACCCAAATTTGGACCAACTTGAAAACTGGGCCAAAAATCTAAAATCTAAATACATGTTTAGATTCAGCATATCAAAGAACCCCATATATTCAATTTTTGTTGAAATCAAACAAAGTTTCATTTTGGACCCCAACTTGGACCAACTTGAAAACTGGGCCCATAATCAAAAATCTAAACTCATGTTTAGATTTAGCATATCAAAGAACCCCAAGAATTCAATTTTTGTTAAAATCAAACTAAGTTTAATTTTGGACCCTTTGGACCTTAATGTAGACCAATTTAAAAAACGGGACCCAAAATTAAAAATCTAAATACACGGTTAGATTTGGCATATCAAAGAACCCCAATAATTCAATTTTTGATGAAATCAAACAAATATTAATTTTGGACCCTTTTGACCTCAATATGAACCAATTTAATAGCGGGGTCCACAAATAAAAAATCTAAATACATGGTAAGATTCAGCATATCAAAGAACCCCATATATTCAATTTTTGTTGAAATCAAACAAAGTTTAATTTTGGACCCCAATTTGGACCAACTTGAAAACTGGGCCAAAAATCAAAAATCTAAATACATGTTTAGATTCAGCATATCAAAGAACCCCATATATTCAATTTTTGTTGAAATCAAACAAAGTTTCATTTTGGACCCCAACTTGGACCAACTTGAAAACTGGGCCCATAATCAAAAATCTAAACTCATGTTTAGATTTAGCATATCAAAGAACCCCAAGAATTCAATTTTTGTTAAAATCAAACTAAGTTTAATTTTGGACCCTTTGGACCTTAATGTAGACCAATTTGAAAACTGAACCCAAAATTAAAAATCTAAATACACGGTTAGATTCGGCATAACAAATAAATAAATGTGGTCAAAGATTTTACAAATCTAATGCGCCATACTGGTCTTCCTTTATAAATATGCATTTCTTTAAACATAATTTAAAAGCAGTGTAAGGGAAGTAACCAAAACGTTGTATTTGGATTACCTCCCTTACACTGTTTTAAATTATCTTAATTGTTCATTAACCATTACTTTATACATAATTTAAAAGCAGTGTAAGGGAGATAATTTCAATGATGTATTTGATTTATCTCCCTTCCACTGCTTTAAATTATGTTTTGTACTAAAGTATTTGTCCATTAATGAGGACAACCTTGTTTTTCCCCCTTTTTTGCCCCTAATTCTTAAACGGTTTGAGCAATAACCCCCCAAAGCAAATCCTAACTATCCCTTTGTGGTATGGAAACTTGTAGTATAATTTCAGAGAGATCCATACACAGTTCCACAGTTATTGTCTGGAAACTAGAAAATGCTTATTTTTGGCCCCTTTTTGGCCCCTAATTCCTTAACTGTTGGTACCATAACCCCCAAAATCAATCCCCACCTTCCTTTTGTAGTATTGAACCTTATGTTAAAATTTCATAGAGATCCATTCACTTAAACTAAAGTTAGAGTGCGAAAACTAATGTGTCTTCGGACAGCGACGACGACGCCAACGTCATACCAATATACGACCACAAAATTTTTTTGCGGTCGTATAAAAAGGCCATGAAAAGACAAATGTGAAACATTTCAAACAGGAAATTTAAGGACCTTATTTATGTACAAAACAATAAACCAAAAACAAATAAGATATACAGCAGCAAACGACCACAACTGAATTACAGACTCCTCACTTGGGATAAGTTTACATTTTTTCAAACAGAAGAAATTACAAAATATTTAGAAATATTTTTTGACATAGGCAACAATACAATATCACAGATTTTGATCAAAACAATAACCAAGATCATCTAAATGGTTTTTTCTGAGGTATATTTATCCTGTCTTTACTACTTGACCTAGATCTCACTAACTTTGTTTTACTCAAACTCCCATCAGACTCCAACTGTTCATTTGTCTCCTGTGGTTCGGATTGTAAGTATTGTTCAGATGTATCGTTCATTTTTGATAAACTACCTGACCGCCTTAATTGTAATGTTCTATTTGGTACTACTAAATTTGGAACATAATTTCTTTTTGTTTTTTTAGGTTGTTTTGACAGACCAACAGGTGGTAAAACATCAAATGCTTTCTGGCTATCAAAAGTGGGAGTCGCACTTTCCTTTGGTGCATTGGCCATTTCCTGTATACTGGCTGTTTCAGACTCAGTTTCACTTTCACTTCCTGTATGCTTATCCATATTATTTTGATTTGTATAAATGAATTCCATGTTATCAAAAGTAGGAGGGCAACTAGTGTCAACATTCCATTTATTCCTGTTTTTTAAATTATTTTCATCATCTTGTTCTGAAATATCTTCTTCAATATATTTTGATTTCTCTCTTTCCACAGAAGGAAATTCAACAAAGCCGTTTTCATTGTTAGTTTCTCTTTTTGAAACTGGTGATTGTTTACTTTTTGTTTTACTCACATTTTGTTCATTTAAATAATTATTTCTCTGTGGGGATATTTTATTAGTCCTCTTTTCATTTATAATGGTTCTGTCTGTTTCTACAAAATGTTCTCTATATTTGAGTTCTTGTTCATCAAGCAAGTTCCGTAACTCTTGTTCAAGTTGTTCTTGTTCTTTTTTGAGATCAGTCCTTTGTTTTACAGCTTTATCTCGATTTCTCTGACATTTTGAGACCAATTTGTCTAAACTATAAAAGAAATCCTCACCAAACTGAGTCAGAGCTTCAGACCCTGGAAAATATAACAGATATAGTCATCAAACTGTGTCAGAGCTTTAGACCCTGGTAAATATAACAGATATTGTCATCAACCATATAATACATCACCATGTAAATTAATAGAAAACAAGCATTCTGAGAGTATTGCATGGCAATACATAGTCCCCTACCAGTTAAAAATTCATTGTACTGGAACAAAATGCTACCTTGATCTACAACTTGTCATGATGCAAACTATATAACAAATATCAAGTCAATATCTTCAAGTATGATGAAAAAAAGTGTGGAAAACTGATTATTTAAGTGAATTTTTCGAAGTCCAAGGGCAATAACTCTGCACAAAATCATCAGACCGGAACAAAACTCAAACTTGATCTGTAACTTGTCATGATAAAACTATATATCAATTATCAAATCACCATCTTCAAGCATGATGAAAAAAGTGAGGGAAACTGATTATTCAAGTGAATTTTCGAAGTCCAATGACCATAACTCTGCACAAAATCATCAGACCGGAACAAAATTCGAACTTGATCTGTAACTTGTCATGATAAAACTATATACCTATTATCAAATCAATATCTTCAAGCATGACGAAATAAAGTGTGGAAAACTGATTATTTGAGTGAATTTTCTAAGTCCAAAGACCATAACTCTGCACGAAATCACCACACAGGAACAAAATTTGAAATTTATTTGTAACTTGTTATGATGAAACAATTCACCAAATATCAAATCAATATCTTCAAGGACGAAGAAAAAAAGTGTGGAAAAATGATTTGCCGGACAGACAGACAGACAGACAGACAGACGGAGTGCAAACCTAAAGTCCCCTTCGACTTCGTCGGTAGGGGACTAAAAAGTAAAGATGCAAGTCTTTGTCCTGAATTTGCATGATCTATTTACCACTGGGCATTAAGCAAGTAATAAATAAATCAATCCAAGGGGAATTGTCACTTTTTGTAGCTGATCAATCTAGTCCAAACTTCAAAACAGGGATTCGTAACTACAAATGGTGTCAAGAGATTATGTGCAATTTTGGTTCCCTTTCATTTGGTGGTGTAACAGAATGTGGGCCTATAATCCTAACCACATGGAATCTCTGTTTGGCCATGGGTATCCCCAGAAATAAATTGATTCAATATCAAATAGAATATGCCTAAAAAAAATTTAATTTAAGTTGTTGTTTTGTCCAGGGATATAGAAGGACATTTTAATTAAGGATGTGTAGACTATGAGAAACACTTTGGTTATGTGAAACCCACATGATCAATGTGATAAAAAAATAAAATAGAACTTGCAGAAGTAGTTTTTCTATAGAGAGTATCTGCCAGTTTTGTTGATGAACATTGAGTGTTGTGGGAGTTTTGCTTTAAGAATGAATCAATGAAACACATTCTGCCAGTTTTGTTGGTTTACATTGAGGTTGCAGGAGTTTTGTTTTAAGAATGAATCAAGGAAACACCTTTCAAGACAATGAATACCGATCTCTATGTGTTGACTATCCTATGCAGGTAACACAAAAATGTTTCCTATAATGACTACTTGGCAAAAGCATGTTGAAGAAATTTCACAGAACAAATAAACTTTCCTGTTTGATGTTATCCTCACAATTTGTTTTTAATTTGTTTTAAATAGACTAACAAATGCCTCCCCAACCTCAAATTTAAATCCAATGTAATTTAAATCCAAAGTTGATTTGCTAATTTGAAAAAGGTAACAATGATTTATTCAAGCATCCTATGGAACATATCTGCCAAGATTGGTAAATGTTTTTGTTTTAACAGACAGTTAAAATCTGAGATCCTTCTTAAGCATCATAAATATTATTCCAATAGCTGACAAATATGGCTGTCAACAGGGAATATCATTGAAACCAACCAAAAGTAAGTAAACAATATCTACAGAATTTCTTAACCAATTTAAAAAGAATAATGAGTGAGAAGTGATGATAAAAGATCAAATGGTCTTTGACATATTTATTCAGAAGTGAATCTTGTTACATGCTTATGATTTTCTGTCTAGAATGACAGACTTGAGATAAAAGTTGAACTTGAGATTTATTTTTCCATAATCTTTTTCATTTCTTCTTCTAGAAATAGAACTTGAATTTGCAATGTGCTCACTTTTGTATTAAAGTGACATTGGTAAAATCAGCACAAGAATATGGAATAACTAATACTGGATATACTAATTTCCCTAAATAAAAATGTCGATATAAAAAGTTTTTTCTAGAATACAACATATTACATTAGAAACTACAAAAGCATAATTTTATTTGGTTTTAGACTTACAAACATACCATCATCACTTTCAGATAATTGTTCAACTGCATTCTCCAGCTATAAATACAAAACACATTTTTTCATGCATGAACGCAATTTAAAGCAAATCTATGATCACACTCAAGACTAAATAACTAAAAAGAACCGTTCTTAAGGTTCAAAAGGATAATAACAAGTAAAACTGTGAGCTACTGCTCACTGATGATACCCCCGCCGAAATATTTCAGTAAACAGGAAGTTGTTGAGTGATGAATCTGAAAACGCATCACACGGTATAGCTGACTTATATAAACCCTGAAGCCAAATTTCAGAAATCCTTGTCAAGTAGTTCCTGAGAAAAATGAGACGAAAATTTTCAACTTGGCTATCATGTGTAAAATAATACAAGTGTTCGGTAAACAGGAAGTTGTTGAGTGATGAATCTGATAACGCATCACACGGTGTAACTTACTTATATAAACCCTGAAACCAAATTTCAGAAATCCTTGTCAAGTAGTTCCTGAGAAAAATGCGACGAAAATATTCATGGGACGGACGGATGGAGCGACGGACTGAAGGAAGGACAGACAGAGGTAAAACAGTATACCCCCCTTTTTTAAAGCGGGGGTATGAAAAGTAGAAGTGTTGATGCCTTTTAGTTAATGACTGACATGTTTACTGACAATATGTCCATTGATAAATACGAGATGTCTTTTGATTAACATGTTTTTGTCAGATTGCTGTTTCATTGACATGTACCAAACTTCATCTTTTATTTGTAGGTATTCAGTTTGTAAATTTATCTCTATTCCTGCTAAAATGAAGCAAAAATAATCACGCATGCACATCAGCATGATCACAGACTAACATAAGCCTCAGGATGATTAAGATTTGACACTAAAATGTTGAAAATAGATCATATCTAAATCATCTGCTCTCTATAATGATTAATAAGTTTATTTTTTGAGTTTCAAAGCAATAAATATGTTAAAGTGCATGTGGATTTATTTATTTAAGTGGGTACCAATTTTGGATTATGTCATAATGGCTGGTTGTGGTCTGTTAGAGTGCACTTTGATTGTGAAAATAACCTTTCCACAATAATTGATTTTGTGATTTCACAATTTCTTTCAAAAGCAACTAAACATAAATTTAATAAATCTATATAAAAAATGCTATTCAAACAGGGGTTCAAATTAGTGGTGGTCCGGGACCTATCAGATTTACAGTCCGACTTCCGATTTGGTTATTAGCTGCACCTGACGGACTTTTGATTTTCAAGTTTCAGAAAACATATATGATGAATTTCTGTATGAAACACTTTGTTATAATTTGTAAATTGATGTGATAATGAATCACGATAAATTAGCTTTGTGCTAAAATTAATTTTTAACTTAGTGATCTACTTCCTGGTTTATTGATAGTACAGCGTGTCAGATGACAATTTTTATGGGTGCTTTCATTGAGGTCCGCGTTCGTAATATTAACGCATGTGGTTGTCAAAGTTGCTTAACCATGAGTTTGTTTCGCTTTGGCGTCACGTCTTCTAAGAGAAAAACAGGTGAGGCAGATGAAATTCTGACTACTTCAGGCGTAGCTAAACAAAAGAAGTCTGACAAAGATGCGATGAAAGTTTAAACCAGTATAAAAGACATGATTGCGAGCAACATGAGCGAAAATTCCAGTTTCATTGGCAGCAAGATCGCCCTTGTCTCCAATTTGGAGAAGCTTCCGGCACCACGACCTGTAAATATTGTAAAAAATACCCAACCCACTCTGATAGGCAAAATGTTTTAGGGAGATGGACACAAAATCTTTAAAATTGATCCAATCAAAAGTCAATGTTTGGACCTTTCATCCTAAGGTATGGACCATCCACTTTACTGTTGTAAAGGTCCAGCACTTTACAGTGAAAAATGTAAATTTGAACCCGTGTCAAAGAGATGCATTTTTCATTAATATTTTATCCAGATTGGTTTTGAAATGTATGGACATCAGATTGAACTGCAGCCCATAAAATTATTGCAATGTAAATTCTTCTAGATCTGTTTATTTGTTTGTTTCTTTCAAATAATTTAATAACATGCTTTGTTTTATTTTATTTATTTGCTAAATAATAATTTACATAAATGAATTATATTTGCATACTGTATTTGTTATTTTGCCTCTCAAGTGACATTTTTTTTTAAAACAAAACTAGTATTTCATTCAACTCTATTTTACATTTATTTCTCCAAGGATATGATCTTATGACTAAATTCAACCTATGGAATCATTTTTAATGAGTATTATTCATATAATTCAAAATATTAAATATAACTGAACTGACATAGTCAAATGTTTAAGTTGAATGCAGAAAAAACCCATAAAAGAATTTCTTTCTTAGATACCAATATGTAAATATGAAACATGTGTAACAACAGGGCTCACGCTAGCAGGCGACTGGGGCGAAGAAGTCGCTTTCAAGTCCGTCACTTTGCTTTGCCAGACCGTCAAAAGCGATATCTAGTCGCCCGGGTGTTCACAATAGTCGCTTTCGTCATCGGCAATTTTCCATTTTCACCAAGTTGTTGAAACGGCAATTTTTCATTTATAAGTAAAAAAATTCAAAGACATAAACAATTTATTTCTTTAGAAAACGTGGAGAAAGCATTGATTTGTAGATTGGTCATATGTTATTTCAAAGAAACAACTTTTTATGAAGTATTTTTTTTTCACTTCCGACACTTGTTTCTCGAGAGCGTACATCAAAAGATCCTGATTTTCTGCAAAATAAATGTGTTACTACATTAGAACGTAATGAAAATTGCCTTCAGTTAATGTTTGATCCATTTATTGCATTTAAAACGTCATATTCCTGTCCAAATCGCTTGTCAAACATCGTTTATTTTTGTAAATTTTCCTTCGTCCGCCATCGAAATATATACGAATCATTGAATGGATACGGACCAACTATGAACGAAATCCGTATTCTTACGATAATAACTTCAGACGCACGAATGGCACTGCTGACAGAAGAATATCTATCACAAAAGTGAAAAATACGCATTCCACATGCATTAACAGAAATTTGTTTGGATCTCCTTAGTTAAATGTATATATTTCAATGCAAATGCATTGTTTCAATTTATTGATTTAAGTTGCTTAAATTTATTAAATTTATATATCTTTTTAATGAGAAACAATGAATATCATCAACAGAATAGTTTTCCTCATTGACATTTAATTGATAACTGATAGTTTCTTTTTCTTTTTGATTAAAAAAAAATCTTTAAATAGGGCTAGACATTTAGTTAGTAGTTTCTGACAAGTGGAAAAAAATGTAATTGTGTAACTATAAATGAAATTTAAGACATAAACTGATACAATTGTTGCTGTAATGGTATTCTCAGTTATGATTTGAACAATACAGAAAAGAATTGAATAAATAGGCTACATATGGCCATATATATTATTGTAAAAACCAAACATTATAGTGCCCTGAACGCGCGAGTACTTCTCTTTTAAGTCTCACCACTTCTCCCTATCAGTTTCAAAAAGAGAAGTCACTTCTCCCTATGATTCTGAAGTAGTGTGAGCCCTGTAACAATATCACTGTGTATGGCATGTGTTTCTGGAATAACCTTCCTCAGGTAGGCTGTAGACTACAAGTTCTTGAAATTGAATATGTAAAAACATAAACAAAAAGAATGTAAACTGAACGGCCAAATGGTGCGGACTATTCAATAAAACAGAAAAAAAAGTAAATAAGTTCATTCTCAAAGTAAAGCAAAATTTTCTAAAATGTGTACACAGGCAAAGCAATAATTACGGAATATAAGAATACCTTTTCTGAATTTTGTTTGAAGCAGGATAAAAATTCTTTCAAAGCCTTTTCTGATGCTGTATCTTTTAAATCACCATAAGTTTTTAAAACATCTGAAGAAAAAAAAAATATCTACACTAAACAATAAATATTGAGAAACTAAATAAAATCTGTTTTTTTCAATAAACTTGATAAGAGGCTAATTGTTGCAGTCAATTTTTATATTATCTGTACTGAATGCTGTAGGTTGTACTTGTTGACAAGCATGCATGCTCTCATAAAAAAACACAAGAAATTTTGATTTGAAACAAACAAATCTTTTTTCTTTAATGATACAATTCATCTATACCGTAGTTTTTAAAATTTAGCATTTATAGAATGATCAAATTTGTATGTGATCTTCCAGGTTGTTTTTTTATTGAAAAAAAGTGAAAAGATGGATACGGTTTGGATTATTTTATTTTTACTTCAGGTTTTGACAGGTATATGAAATACAATAAATATATCATTTATCAGTACACCTATTAAAGTATACAATAAGATAATTGGGCAATACAACATTATTATATGATAATGAATACCTTTAAGTGGTTTAATTATCACGTCCTTGGTGGATTCTTCAAACTTCTGATAACCACCTCTACAAAATATATTTCAGCAATGACATTTTAAAGTTAAATTGACCTCATGAACATACAACAGAAATTTGTTATTTGCCATGTTTACATTGTATAATTTAATATTGACTTGATAACATTTTTTGTGTATTGATGAAATGATAAATTGCCTAGAATATTAAGACACTTGCTCAGATGCTTGTATATTGTTGAAGATTGAATGTTTTTAGTGTATTATTAAGGTCAGATAAAGTCTTTAATGTTTTTTTATGATGAACAAGTATAGAAACAAGAGGCTCTCAAGAGCCTGATTCACTCACCTGTATTTCAGAGAATATTTTTAAATGTTAGCAAACTTGATGAACAAATTGTGTAAAATTGTCTTTAAAGGGCAATAACTCCTTAAGGGGTCAATTGACAATTTGGTCATATTAACTTTTTTGTAGATCTTACTTTGCTGAACATTATTGCTGCTTACAGTTTATATATATCTATAATAATATTCAAAATAATAACAAACAAGAGGCTCTCAAGAGCCTGAATCGCTCACCTGTATTTCAGAGGAGAAGATTTTTAAATGTTAGCAAACTTGATGAACAAATTGTGTAAAATTGTCTTTAAAGGGCAATAACTCCTTAAGGGGTCAATTGACAATTTGGTCATATCAACTTTTTTGTAGATCTTACTTTGCTGAACATTATTGCTGCTTACAGTTTATATATATCTATAATAATATTCAAAATAATAACAAAAAACTGCAAAATTTTGTTAAAACTACCAATTCGGTGGCAGTAACCCAACAATGGATTGTTTGATTCGTCTGATAATTTCTGGGCCGATAGATCTTGACCAATTAGACAATCTAACCCCATGTCACATTTGCTCTAAAAGATTTAATTTTTGAGATATAAGCCAAAAACTGCATTTGACCCTTATATTCTATTTTTAGCCATGGCGGCCATGTTTGTCGATGGATACAAACTTCGGATATAATTTATAAACAAGATACCCTAAGGAACATTTAATTAAAGTTTGAAGGTAATTGGCCCTGTAGTTTCAGAGGAGAAGAATTTTTAAATGTTAGCAAATTTGATGAACAAATTGTGTAAAATTGTCTTTAAAGGGCAATAACTCCTTAAGGGGTCAATTGACAATTATGGTCATGTAACTTTTTTGTAGATCTTACTTTGCTGAACATTATTGCTGCTTACAGTTTATATATATCTATAATAATATTCAAAATAATAACAAAAAACTGCAAAATTTTGTTAAAACTACCAATTCGGTGGCAGCAACCCAACAATGAGTAGTTCGATTCGTCTGAAAATTTCAGAGCTGATAGATCTTGACCAATTGAACAATTTTACCCCATGTCAGATTTGCTCTAAAAGCTTAAGTTTTTGAGATATAAGCCAAAAACTGCATTTGACCCCTATATTCTATTTTTAGCCATGGCGGCCATGTTTGTCGATGGATCAAAACTTCTAATACAATTTTTAAACTAGATACCCTAAGAAATATTTAGTTAAAGTTTGAAGGTATTTGGCCCAGTAGTTTCAGAGGAGAAGATTTTTGAAATAGTTTACGACGACAGACGACGGACGCCAAGTGATGCCATAAGCTCACATGGGGCCCTCGGTGAGCTAAAAAACTTCAAATTTTGCGTGCTTGCTCAAATACAGTGTGAAACTATAACAGCATAATCATAGCATATCCCACAAAGGTCCAAAATTTATGTTAGATATTTAATTTTCAGAATTTCTTAATCTGATCAGTATTCAATTTTTAACTAACAATAGACCTTATTTCTCCATGTTCTTTTACGATGATATCATGAAATACTAACCTAACAGCATCAAATAAAGATTGGATATACTCCAACTGTAAATCATACACTGACTTGTGAAACTTTAAATCTTCTTTTAATGATTTTATCTAAAATAAGACAGAGTCAAAGAATCATAAGACAGAAAAATGTTGTTAAGAAATGATCTGTAAATTCATGACCAAGGAAATATTAAAAAAAAAATCCTTAATACTATGATCTTTTTTTAAAACTTATAACCAATAAAAATGAACTCTTTTCCCAAAATATACAGATTTTGTGAAATTGATATTGAATTTACCTCCCCTTCCCACAAATTTAAAATAAATAAATGGAGAATGTGTCCCCATGGACACAGATGATGCCCCTTTTGCATACAACATTATAAAGGGACATAACTTAAGAACAATAAAAGTGACACTACCCAAATTTGTACTTGATCTGAGTTTTGTGGTAATAAGTATTGTGTAAAGGTTTCATAATGTTTGGTTGGGGCAAACTTAAGTTACAGAACGGAAACCAAAAATTTTGCAATTTTTCAATTTATAAAGGGCATAACTCGATAATGATTAAAGTGACGCCACCAAAATTCAACTTGATCTGTGTTTTGTGGTAAAAAGCATTGTGTATAAGTTTCATAACATTTGGTTGAGGCAACTTAAGTTAGAGAACGGAAACTAAAAATTTTGCATTTTTTTCCATTTATAAAGGGGCATAACTCGAGAATGATTTAAGTGACCCCACTAAAATTCAAACTTGATCTTTATTTGGTGGTGATAAGCATTGTGTATAAGTTTCATAACATTTGGTTGAGGCAAACTCAAGTAAGAGAATGGAAACTAAAAATTTTGCAATTTTTCCATTTATAAAGGCATAACTCTAGAACGATTAAAGTGACACCACTAAAATTCAAACTTAATCTGTGTTTTGTGGTAATAAGCATTGTGTATAAGTTTCATAATATTTGGTTGAGGCAAACTTAAGTTAGAGAAAGGAAACTAAAAATTTTGTAATTTTTCCATTTATAAAGGTGCATAACTCTAGAACAGTTAGAGTGACGCTACCAAAATTCAAACTTGATCTGTATTTTGTGGTAATAAGCATTGTGTATAAGTTTCATAACATTGAGGCAAACTCAAGTTAGAGAACGGAAACCAATTTTGGGACGTATGGTACATACGTACAGACGGACAAGGGTAAAACTTAATGCCTCCTCCGCTACGGCGGGGGCATAAAAAATAAAATCTTAATGTTTTTGACATAAATCCATTTGTGATGACATTACAGGACAATAAAACTGTATTTATTGAAATATATCTCACATTAACATACATAGAAGTATTTAACCATTTCTAAAATCAGAATATCTTTCTTCTCAACTAAAAAGCTTTACTTTTTTAAAAGTTATATAAAGATTTTCCATATTGTCCCATTGAAAACGCCTTCTAAGAATACTATCTATTCAAAATTGTAATGTTTATGACATCTTTCCTATCCATTGAATTACTTTTTCCCTAATCTCCACTTAAAAACCCATTCTTTTTATCTATTCAAAATTGTAATCTTTATGTCATCAATTGAATTACCTCATGATTCGTCATGCTGTTTTTGTAATTAACAGCTTTCAACATGGCATCTATTACAGACTGTACCTCCTTTACTTTTGTCTTGGGTAATACAGGAAGACTTTTCATAACCTGATCACATGTCAAGTCTTTTATCGCTGACCTTTTCAATGGTGGCTGAAAAATAATCAAAAACAGAAATGTTAAGAAATAAAACAGCAAAAAATTTAAGTGGATTCTCCTCAATCAATATATCAGTTCATTGATATTTAGCATAAAATTTTCTTACCTATATTGACGTAAAACATTCAGGTTATAGATTTAGCTGAGTATATTTTGACAATTTAATGTGAAGGGATGGTAAATTTTTGTCTAATTCTCATCTTTAGAGTGTGTCTAAATCAATTATTTAGAATGTTTGAAATAAAATTAAAATAATAATTTCATAGATGATCTCATTCTGAGTAATAGGAGAGCATCCGTACTTGATTAATAATCATTGAGAGATTTATGAAACGTTTCTTTATTAGCATTTTCTCACTGATAATGAAAGAAAAATCAGTAAAATTCAGTCAGACGTGTTCATTCGTAAATTTGTTGAAACCAGAGGTGACGCTTACCCATGGAGCACTAGGGTATAGCAATGAAAGTTGTACTAAATCACCACAGCAATCTTTTATCATGGCACAAGATTTTAAAAGTCTGGTAGTCATATGATCACGCATTGCTTTGTTTGTATGCTCTGAAACAGGATGAAGTGATGGTTTTTCAGCCTCTTCTATCAAGCTGTGGAAACCAATAAGTTCTTTGTATAGACTTGCCAATTTGGTTTCAAGCTTTGCCTATAAAAATATACAAAAACAGATTTATAAAGAACAATGTTATACTCTATGTGAATTTCTATACTGATACTTTTTTCACTTACATTTTGTATTGATAAGAGTGGCGAGCATAGCTTTAAATGGCAAATAAAATATGTCAATGGTATACCTTTCTTATGTGCCTGTCCCAAGTCAGGAGCTTGTAATTCAGGGGTTTTTGTTGGTTGCTGTCTGTCTTGATTGTTCTTCGCTTGTTATTTAAGCATTAATCAGGCCGTTACTTTTCTCTTTTGAATTGTTTCACATTTTGTCCTGCCAGGGCCTCAATGATGAAGGCTGTATAGTTCCCTATTGCTGTTTACAGCCTTGTCTTTTGGTTCCTTGGTGAAAAGTCGTCTCATTGGCAATCATACAACATTACCTGTTATTTATGTTATGAAATGCTATTGTTTTTATAAAATCTTGGATGCAACTAAGAATAGATCTTTTGCGATCATAAATGAATGGTTTCATGAGATGCAATGTCAAACTCAATCAATTATCAGGGTCACCTTATATTCATTAACCAGATCTTTTAAGTATTTTTGCAATGAAGATAAGTCCATTATTTATTTTTCTTAAATTTAGATAAACAGTATTTTTCAGTTATCTATAATATTCTGTAAGTAAACTCTAAGAGATTTCCTGTAGCATAAATACTTTTGGTTTTACCCACCACATGCTTTAAATTAAGATGTTCAAGATGACCTGAAGCAATGTCCAGAAGAGTTATCTCCTCTTCACTTCCTGGTCGTACAAATTCATTTACAAACATCAGAGGTCTTGTGAGATTCCTCACTGTTGCATTCTGAAACAGAATTAAAAGGTTTATTTTTTTTTTAAATACAGTGGAAATATCTCCTTATTGGATGCACATCAATATTTCATAAATATGGACACTGATGATCACTACATCTACCAAAATGTCCTTTTTCATTGAGTTTTGTCTCTTGTACATTTGGCTAGTATCGCTTCTACAAATGCTGCATTGTTACAAGTCTCTATTCCATTCATATCACATCATCATATATGAAAGGTTCATATATATCCCTTGGTTACACTTCTAAATTACTGTGGATTCATTATTATTCGTGGTATACCAATTTTTTTTTATTTTGTGGGTATAGATAAACCACGAATTCACTCCAACGTTTTCTGTGTGCAGACTTTGGCAAAACCACGAAATAAAAAATCCATTAAAATACAATATTTCCTCAATCCACAAAATTAAATGAATCCACAGTATCATGAAATTCAGACCATTCCCCTTCACAATATATGCTGCACAATTTTACAACATATTTACCTCTATATTCTTGTACAATTTAATTCTTGCTGATTCAGCAGTTTCCACCATCAAAGTTAAATCTGATCTTTTAACAGGTACCTCTGGACTTCTAGACTCCATGGAAATATATTGTCTACAATTAGAAATGACAACATATATCAAAAAGTTTCAAGGTTTTAATTTGTATTTTTTCCCCCAGATAAGACAGAAAATTGTCAAATATAAGTTGAAAGTACCTTTTTGTAACTTTTTATTTCCATTATGCTACTTTGTAACATCAACCAGCTCAATATTTGTGGATAGACAAATAAAGTGCTGTTATTGCGAACCCAATGAAAGTTTTCCACAGTGCCATCTCTATATGGTCAAGGTATTTAAACTTTTGTAAGTTCACCTGTCCTATTGAATAAATACAATAGCTATTGTTCTTGTGGAGTTTATTCACTGTGACCTTTAAATTTCTTCTAAGAGAAATCTATCACTCATTGATTAATTTACCTGAGTCATGAAAACATTTTCTTATATATAGACAAAAATACTTTTTTTATACCCATTAACTGCCTGTGATGATGTATTTATTTAAAATTGATAATATATTATCAATCTTTTCAATATAAACACTGATTTAATCATAAAAATTTTAATTCTAACAAAAGTTTAAGTAATGTTCCCATTGAAATTTGCATTTTTTTGTTTTTGTTTAGTTATAGAATACATTTAAGTAGGTCTTAATTTGAACATTATAATTTTCAAGTTTTTATTTGTCAAACACACAAAAAAAACAAGTTCTAAAGTTTTATTAATGTTTGAATCACTGTTTACATTCAACAAATTGAAAATATCTTATTAATATTGAATAAATACAACATCACATGCAGTTTTGAGTATAAAACATGTATTTTCGTCTATTTAGATTTTTTTTTTTTACTCAGGCAAATTAATCAATGAGTGATAGATTTCTCTTAGAAAAAATTTAAAGGTCCCAGAGAATAAACTACACAGAGAACAATAGCTATTGTATTTATTCAATAGGACAGGTGAACTTACAAAAGTTTAAATACCTTGACCAGATAGAGATGGCACTGTGCAAAACTTTCATTGGGTTCGCAATAAGAATAGGTTTGATTCCATCAGGTATAAATCATGTCCTATTTTCATGTAGCAATAGTTCATTCATAACATGTACATATGCTGGCATCAATGACAGATTTCAGGGCTACTGATGATTACCAAAAACTTTTGCTTTGGTAAAACAAAATAAACCAATGTGATAATGCTCAAGTATTTTTTGAATCGCTTGGAAACCATGCATCAAAAATATATAGACAAAAAAACATCAACCATAACATTGTGCTGTTCATTTGATATTTAGTTTTAATTAGATATATTTTTATTGTGGCATACAAGTATCCCTTTTTTTCAATGAAATTTGTTTATCATGATAATATTTATGACCTTGACCTTTAACCCTACCTCCACTGATCTGTCATCCAAGTTAAAGAATTTTCCACTTCTGCTAATGTTTCTGATCTTGAACTGATAGCCTCTGACATCATTAGAACCTTGTATAGAAATGAACTAAAGCATGTATTTTATTTACTATAACACATATCCATAACATATAAAGGAAGCAATCTAAAAATATGTGTTTTTTAAATCATAAAAATATGAGAATAAAAAATCTTTTTTTCGTATATCATTTTTATTGGACTTAAAGTATACACGACTTAAACATATGTTTGTTTATCTGTAAAATGCAATTGTCAACTCCTCAAAAATGGCTTGATTCTGTTTAAAGTTTATTTGTTGGCGATTGAAAACAGTAATTGTAAGAAAACTTGAGTAGTTATTTTTTTATTGGTAATCAAATGGTACTCTCAATATGCAAACATGTTGTTTGTGTAAAACAATTTGGTCCATGTCATCATCAAATCTAAGCAAACTGTACAAGAATGAAATGTAAATACTTATGCTGATTATAATATGTTAACAAGTTCTTGATGTTGTAATGACACAAACCTGTCTTTCTAGCTGAATGACCTGTGATTTAATTAACATAATTCTTCTTTCGTCAAACTTCTCATGGGAATTTTCTTGTACTAATTGGTTGTATAAACTCCTTCATTAAAGAAAATAAAAAAAAACATGTATAAACTATGTAATTATATTAAAACTTAGAATGAGACTCACTTAGACAAAGTAAAATAAACTGCTTCGCCTAGCGCAGCTGGATACGACCGCAGAGGTCCAACCCTGAACAGTTGGGGCAAAAATGGACACAATATTCAAGCTTGATACAGGTCTGAATTGGATTGTAATTAAATATTTGACACATTATAGGTTTCTGACACAGAATAAATGTAGCCAAAGAACTTGAAATTGGTTATATGATTTGAATTTATATTCAATCGAAGGTTTTTTGCTTTTGTGCAATACACTGTGTTGTTGCGCAATACTTAGTAAATCTGTTTTCAGACTATATACAAAGAATTAGCAAAATAAATTGTGAGCCCCAATTTTTCTTTGGAAATCTTGAGGAAAAAAAATTGACCCCCCTAAAAAATTAGACATATCAAACTACCTGAACACATTATTTAGACCCTTAGCTGACAATTGACTGCTCTTACTCCTAAATGCCATGTGCTTAGTGGAGAAACAGCAATGACCAATTTTTGAAGTCTTTGGTTTAACATCGCCAGAGATTGAAACCCATGACATCCTGCACTTGAGGCAAACACGCTATCATGAGACCATAGAGGGGGTTAACATATGTTGTGTGCACCAAAATTGGTACCTTACATCTATTTTTATATACATTTTTGTATATTGTAACATACAATGGGCATTCTTTCAACAATATTCATAAAACATGATAATAAATGTGATATCAATATGATTCTGCTTTGTATCATTGTCAAATTATATGTGATAGCTTACAACTTTTCAATTAACAAGTAGACTTGCAATGATTGCTATTTCATAGAGACATATTATTCCTGCTGCAACTGACCAGTCATTTTCAGTATTTGCTTTAAATCCTAAGTTTTATGTGCTTCTTATCCTAAAGTCTTTGACTTGACATTGCAAGGCATCCAAAACCCTCCAGCAATCATTATGACCATGCTTAAGTGAGAAACACAGTTTTTGTTTTAAAGTTAGAGAACATAGTAAAAAATAATATTAAAAAAAAAACCAAATAAGTGTATATGTTCCGGACCATATGGGTATACTCATATGGTCCGACCATATGCGTATATACTTGTTGGTTATTAACGGGCCGCACCATATGAGTATTTAGACCATATAGGTATTTTTCGAATAAATTCAAATTTCCTTAACAGACACAGCTCGTTCTCTGAACAAAAAATGGACAAATTTTCTTTTTTCTTTTTCCCCGGCGTGTAGATTAGATTTTCTTTAATTTCTTCTAATTTCCACTTATGTTCGCATAACTGGTGTGTTCAGACAATCTTACAATAACACTGTTTCTACATAAGAATAGAGAAGCAGCACGTATAAACTACTGTAATTGCAAATCGTATAAAGAGGAGCATGAACAAATTAAATAACTAAAAATGATTTAAAATGTTTCAGAAATTTTAATAAAAAAAAAAAAACAAATTGAAACACCAAAATAAAGAAGAAAGGAGGGTTCAATACTCTAATTGCTAATGAGAAAAACATGTGACTTCTTGCTTAAGTTCATTTTATATTAATTTATTTTCGGAGTCAACATATTGTGTTTCGTAAGACAAATTAATATAAATGACTATGCAAAAATGCTTCTACTATAATTTTAACTTGTGAGTAAAATTCATTTCATTTCATTAATCACGTAACAATGATTACCAAATTAATTATTATCTAAGTCAAAATTTCATTTTTAGAAACTCTTAATTTATGACACCTTGAAGAGTTATGCCTTACGCAATTACTGTTCAACGTTCATCGTATTAATTACCCGGACCATATGAGTATATACGCATATGGTCATGACCATACGCGTATGGTCCAAATACTCATGGTCCGGAACATATATATAATAAAGAAGAGTTGAGGTTTGAATCCAGTTTGATTGTCAATGATTCTAATGTACATTAAAGGCTATAGGGTAGGAGAGCAAACATTTACACAACTACAGTTTACTACATGCACAGAGTTAAACAATGGTTAAAGACTCATATTGTAAGGTAAGCTAAACTTGAGGCTCCCAACAGCCTGTGCCGCTCACCTGTATCTACTGGAAATCATGTAAAATAAGGTTAAAATCATAATCAATAGTATTAGATACCCTAATAATGATTGAGGCCAAGTTTGGTTTGGTTTAATTTGGCCCAGTAGTTAAATTAAAAGCAGGTCATCCCATTGTAGTCTTACAATAGTTACTGAAGACCCCTTATCATTATTTAAATTAGTTTTCAAGTTGTGACCATTTGAAATTGATTTTTTTACAATTTTCCCTTAGACTTCTATAGTAAACCCCTAGCTATGTTCTATTTTTAGCCATGGCAGCCATGTTGGTTGGATGACAGGGTCATCGGATACATTTTTAAATCAAGATACTCTATTGAAAATTGTGGCAAAGTGTAATTCTATTTGGCCCAGTAGATTAAGTGGAGACGATTTTTGTAAAAGATTACAAAAATTTACGAAAAATTTACTATAAAGTATGTACTTTGCTGAACATTATTGCCGTTTACAGTTTATCTCTATCTATAATAATATTTAAGATAATAAACAAAAACTGCAAAATTTCCTTAAAATTACAAATTCAGGGGCAGCAAACTAACAACGGGTTGTCTGATTCGTCTGAAAATTTCACAGCGGATATATTTCAACCTGATAAGCATTTTTACTCATGTCAGATTTGCTCTAAATGCTTTAGTTTCAGAGATATAAGCCAAAAACTGCATTTTACCCCATATGTTCTATTTTTAGCCATGTCGGCCATGTTAGTTGGCGGGCGGGGTCATCGAACACATTTTTTAAACTAAATACCCTAATGATGATTGTGGCCAAGTTTGGTTAAATTTGGCCCAGTAGTTTTAGAGGAGAAATTATTGTAAAAGTTAACGGACGACGGATGCCAAGTGATGAGAAAAGCTCACTTGGCCCATTGAGCCAGGTGAGCTAAAAAGGAACCTTTTAATTCAAAAGTGCAAATTAAAGGACAAACCTATCAGCCTAATTTAACTGATTAAAATTTAACAATAAATAAGTAGGACAGAAAAACAATAACAATCACTTGACTACAGTCACACATTAGCTAAAATTCTGTGTATTACATAAGCATAAGAGAAAGAATGAGACCCACAAATGTAAAGGATTACAGAAGGAAATCAAATTGACTTATTGTATACAGAGTGAGGCAATGAGAGATTTTTTTTCATAATCACTACAAAGTGATTTTTACCTAACTTCTTTGATTTCATTTCTCAGTTTTGCATTTTCTTCTTTCAACTTCTACAAAACAAATATATAATACATTTATATGTATTTCAAATTCATTGTAAATTCATTGTAAACTTCAGTTCATATTTTTTAACTTGTACTTTTGTTGAAAACTGTATTGACCTCTAGATGTATTTCTGTGGTTTTTTTATGTGTTATTGAAATGATGTCTCATCGAGGTAAACCTAGCATTATCTCCCTTTATTCATATTCACTACAGCATTTAAGTATATATGATTCCAGGGTTTTAATTAGTTGAAAGCTTGTGTGCTTTTCATGTCTTTTCTTTTACCAGATGAATATTGTTCATATTTCACCAACAATAGCTATGTATATCTGTTTAGTTACATCAAATGTAAATAGAGTTGGTTAAGTTGAACTTTAGAATCAAATTTCCTTATTCTTAAGCCAGAAAGGTTACCAAAACCCAATACTTAATAAAGCACACAAACACATTTGTAATGAAGCTTCTCTTTTGAGGGTTAAAGAAAGGTATAAACCTTAGGCAAATACCATGACAGAGAAGGTAAAGAAAAGTGATATCTTTGAGCATATACACATGTACCCTGGTGGTGGTTAAATATAAAAGAAATTCATCAGATATAAGAAAAAACATGAAAGAGACACTAGCTATCGACCAAGCAAAATAAGATATTTATATATAATAAGGTGTATTAATGTGAAGAATATGAACTTTTTAATCTTTTTTGAAACATACAATTTCTTAGAAATTGTATTAGGTTGGATAAAATCAATTAGAACACCAAACCTTCATTGTAATTATTCTTCCCATATTCAACCTCAAATTTTACGGTCTTTGCTTTGCAAATTATTCAAACTGATTTAAAAATAAATGTCACAATATCAATATTTTGCAATCAGATAGCACTATGTTAACTTATTAACAAAGCACTCAAACATGTGTCAAAAGTGTCAGTTTAATGGTTTACCTTTATTTGTCTTTCTGCATGAGCAGCAGTAGCACTTGTTGTACTTGAATTCCCTCCAAAAGATGAATCTAACGTTGTATTTCTGCTTAGAGCTGTTGAAATGGACAATCTTCCTCTGCCAGACATCGTAAAATAGTACTTTTGCTGCTACATGTATATTGTGTGAAAGAAAACAAATAACCGGTAAATAACATTATATAATTTAATATATATAATATACATGTACACTGTCGTGACTGTATAAAATATACCTTTCCTTGGTCATTTATTTGGGTTAATCATATTTATTCTTTAATACTGGGATCTAACTACTACTAGCATGACTGGCTAGAGATTCGTTCATTATTGGAATAAATCAGATAAATTGCTCTACCAACAAAGAACAGCTATGAACTACCATCCACCAGATCAAGAAAGAGCTCTTAATTTGTGTTGCCATTTAGATATTTGTCAACCAATTCATTATAGGCTCTCCTATCTGGCAGATCTTAGTAAAGGTTATAATTCGGTATGGTGTCCGTGAAAAACGATTTCTTCTGTTATATAAATAATCCTTTCAATCCCAGGAATTTGGGAAATCAAAGGTAAAGAATTTTATGACAACATGAATCATATTTGGATTCTGTTCCTGCTTACTGACTTGCATTATTTAAAGTGTACAGCAACAACACTATATTTCAAAGGGGATTACACAGTTACATGTATACAACTCAGATCAGTGGGATATCCAGTGAACAAAAACAAAAGAAAATTCACTCTTCTTATGATAGAGTTGAGAAAGTCAACAATAAAACAATGCCGGTGACCATACTGATCAAAAGTTATTTCCAAATAATAATTGTTCATTCTAAATAAATTAATTGTTAAACTGTGTTATTAGAAATATGCATTTTGTACATGCAAATACACAATGTTTTATGTTAAGTATTTATTGAGTTAATTGCATTAGAAGCTTGTGAAACTGAAATTTAAAAACTGCAAATCTTGGATGCATATTGATAAAAAACAAGAGTGCACACGCTGAAATGTCTCGCCTTCTTTACTAATCATTGATATTATGTTGATAGTCCTAAATATAAAGCTTTATTACAACTGTCACATAAACTTAACATTAACCAAGTAAACTAAACATTGACCAATGAACCATGAAAATGAGGTCAAGGTCAGATGAACCATGCTAGGCAGGCATGTACAGCTAACAATTCTTCCATACAACAAATAGAGTTGACCTATTGCTTATAGTTTAAGAAAAACAGACCAAAACACAAAAACTTAACACTGAGCAATGAACCTTGAAAATGAGGTCAAGGTCAAATAAAACCTGCGTGACTGCCAAATAGATCATAAAATATTTCCATACACCAAATATAGTTGAACTATTGCATACAGTATAAGAAAAACAGACCAAAACACAAAAAGTTAACTATAACCACTGAACCATGAAAATGAGGTCAAGGTCAGATGACACCTGCCAGTTGGACATGTACACCTTACAGTCCTTCCATACACCGAATATACTAGACCTATTGCTTATAGTATATGAGATATGGACTTGACCACCAAAACTTAACCTTGTTCATTGATCCATGAAATGAGGTCGAGGTCAAGTGAAAACTGTCTGACGGGCATGAGGACCTTGCAAGGTACGCACATACCAAATATAGTTGAACTATTGCACATAGTATTAGATAAAAAGACCAAAACTCAAAAACTTAACTTTGACCACTGAACCATGAAAATGAGGTCAAGGTCAGATGACACCTGCCCGCTAGACATGTACACCTGACAATCATTCCATACACCAAATATAGTAGACCTATGGCATACAGTATAAGAAAAACAGACCAAAACACAAAAAGTTAACTATAACCACTGAACCATGAAAATGAGGTCAAGGTCAGATGACACCTGCCAGTTGGACATGTACACCTTACAGTCCTTCCATACACCGAATATACTAGACCTATTGCTTATAGTATCTGAGATATGGACTTGACCACCAAAACTTAACCTTGTTCACTGATCCATGAAATGAGGTCGAGGTCAAGTGAAAACTGTCTGACGGGCATGAGGACCTTGCAAGGTACGCACATACCAAATAAAGTTGAACTATTGCACATAGTATTAGAAAAAAAGACCAAAACTCAAAAACTTAACTTTGACCACTGAACCATGAAAATGAGGTCAAGGTCAAATGACACCTGCCCGCTAGACATGTACACCTTACAATCATTCCATACACCAAATATAGTAGACCTATGGCATACAGTATAAGAAAAACAGACCAAAACACAAAAACTTAACTATAACCACAGAACCATGAAAATGAGGTCAAGGTCAGATGACACCTGCCAGTTGGACATGTACACCTTACAGTCCTTCCATACACCGAATATACTAGACCTATTGCTTATAGTATCTGAGATATGGACTTGACCACCAAAACTTAACCTTGTTCACTGATCCATGAAATGAGGTCGAGGTCAAGTGAAAACTGTCTGACTGGCATGAGGACCTTGCAAGGTACGCACATACCAAATATAGTTATCCTATTACTTATAATAAGAGAGAATCTAACATTACAAAAAATCTTAACTTTTTTTTCAAGTAGTCACTGAACCATGAAAATGAGGTCAAGGACATTGGACATGTGACTGACGGAAACTTCGTAACATGAGGCATCCATATACAAAGTATGAAGCATCCAGACCTTCCACCTTCTAAAATATAAAGCTTTTAAGAAGTTAGCTAACGCCGCCGCCGCCGCTGGATCACTATCCCTATGTCGAGCTTTCTGCGACAAAAGTCGCAGGCTCGACAAAAATTGAAAAAATCATGAATATACAAAATTTAATGATCTTTCGGGTCACCAATTTTCAGAGTGTTCCACAAAGCCCTTAGCATGTTACAAGTTCCCAAAGTATACTTATTTTTTCACACCTAAGTAATCGAGCACACCGGTCTGCTCTTGTCACATGTACATTCAATAGAGAAATATTGTGTTTTTGTGAATATAAAAATTTAGAAGTCTGCCTGTGAAGGTTAAGAAATTAAAGATAACTATTTTTATAAAGTAGGTATCTTTCTACTATTTTTTATACAATTTAAAGAAAAGGTCATCTCGATTTTTGTACTTGTATTTGCGGTCTTAATGATCTATTCACAGTCAATGTTTACATCGAGATAAGGTCCGTTTCAATTTGCTTAGTTACATAATTTCAAAAGTGCCAATCTTTGCTGCATATATATCGATTCCTCTGGAATTTTTTCCCCCCGGACTTTCTCTGATCTAGCTGTATATATATTCCGATAATTAGTACCCGGTATGTTCCAGAAAGGTATACATCCAGTAGAAAAATAAATTGAAGTTGGTACTGTCCCATAGCAACATTTTAAACCAATTTAACATCAAGCTTTTATAGCCTGCTGTACTCGTCGTTTGCTACTTAAGGAGGGAAATGATAACATTGAATGGAAGTTTTGTTTTTATTTCAACTTATTTCTATTTTTCCTATTTACCAGAACATTTTCCCGTGAATCCATAATTGATAGCGTCCTTGCTAAAATGGGACAAACTTTGAGAAGATCTAGTTTTCAATATTTACAGGGGAGGTAATATTTTGTCACTAGATTTCCCACTGAACTAAGTCTTCCCCGAGTCCACATTGGAAATATTTTTTTGTTTGTAAATGTTGGTTGAAATAATCAAATACTTATTATCTCTGTAACTGCAATAACCAAGCCAACTTGAGTGAGGCCTGTCCTTGAGTATACAGACTTCGCTTTTATTGTAAATAGTTCAAAGTTTTTAGCAGTTTTGATTGATATGAAAAATAGCTAAGGGTTCATCAGATACAACATATGCATCTGACAATGAAAAGCACATACTTGAAGGACTTACACAATTACCATACTTGATAAGGTCATAAGTGCTTGGAAATTTCCCTAAATATTTTATATAATAACATTTTATTCAGAGTCTTACAAAAATGTATTTTGATGAAATTTTTCCAGTTCAACCCATGTCTATGTTTACAAATTTTTATGAATATTTTGATGACATTATATATATCCAAAAATAGAAATTAAATGTCATTTTTTGTTATAAAGCCCTCAGAAATAGTAATTACTTAATACAGGAACATATATTGACGGGACTTGACACTACCTAATTGTAGCCGTTATCGTCGGGTCATAGGTAATAAAGATACGATACGGAATCGGACATGTGTTAAAAACATACCCGCTATTATCCTAATAATTTCTGATAATATCAATAAAATGTCATTCAAACTAGTTTTACAGTGATGCTAGTGTATCAAACTTGTATTCTGTCACTTCAAATTTGTTATAATGGCATTCGTTTTATCACAGAATGCAAACAGGGTAATAAAAAAAATGGCGCCAATTGCCTTCCCAAATTCAAAAACATTATAAGACACTTCACATCAAATAAATCACACTTATTTTTGTCATTTTATATGAAAAAATGTTTCTACTTTATGATAAAACTTTTATTTATTTACGATTAGAATTATGTGGTAAATTATTGAGCAGTTCCAATAGTTAAGTCAGACGCCACCAAAATCCATAAATCCCACAAAGTCTCGTGGAGTCCCAGATTTTATCAATTTTATACTGAAAAGCCTATCAGATTCATTTCCCGTTAGATATACTGTTCCCAGCTTAATAGTATACTATAGAGGTTGGTATATTATGTGCAGTGCCAGTGTACATGGTGTTACAATACAAAGCAAGCCAAGACTTTTTTTGTGCAGAAATTCATATTTGCCTTTAAGCAGTGATTTTCTTAATAGTATAAATCATAATAATTGAAAGAAACTGCAGACAATTATGTATTTAAAAGGGGAATATCATTCAATTCGGACAAGAAATAACTTAAGCAGAATTTTTATAAAAATGTGTTTTTTCTTCTTCTTCTTCAGTTATACAACAAAACTTCAGGATACTGAAGATTACTTGTTGTTGCGCATGCGTGTTTAAATTTAATTTTCTTGTAGATGCCAAAGAACAAAAAAAAAAAAAAAAAATATATACAAATTTGACAATTTGTGCATGTATATTACAAAAACTAGTGATTAAAATAAAATTTATATACAAAAATTTAAATCAGTTGGCAGAGAACACCTTG